ATAAGGGCTAAGATAAGAGCTAACAAATTGCGGTCTGTCACAGTGACAATATAGATGGGGAGGAAGGAGGCAGATATAGTGTGTTGTTTTTTTTTTTTAAAGGGATTCAATAAATGTTTCCCTTAGGTCTCCCAAGAAGTGATTACTAATAATACGCTTCGGAAGACAGGTCTATCTCATTCTTGTGGTCCAATCATAAAAGTGTCAAAACGTCTGAGGTGTGGTTAGTGTCTTCTAGGTGGCTCAACCCAATCGATAGCCAGGATATGAAGGATCGCAAATGCCGCAATAACGATGTAGGTTCTTTTTGGACATGTACGCAAACCAAAGGAGAGACAAGATTATTTTTTTTTAATTCCAGAAGCTTGTTCTCTATCTACAGCTTGTCTTGTAAGAGTGTTAGAAAATACCTCATAAAGAAAAGAAAGATGGTTGCCCAAGAGGCCTACATAAAACAAGGCTTCCTCAGAACTGACCTTGTGGTGGCCCTTGTCAAAATTCCAAGTACACTTGCACACTGTGAATTTTTAGGTCATGGTCACAGATCATCTAAGCAAGTGAGATGTAGGGGGTCCAGAGTCTGTGATCAAAGTAATAATAAAAGTTGACCCTGTTTTTTCTTAGTAAAATACATTTTGGGTAAATGATTAAGTGCCAGTTCAGAAAGAGACCAGATCAGGTCAAGACAAGAAAGAAAAAGGAGAGGAAAAGAGGAAAATAATGTCAGACCATAAGACAGAAAGGAGCACAGGAGATGGAACTTGAAGCTTATGCCAGACAAGACTCCATACTTAAAGATCATCAGGAAAAACGCGATTGGAGCTAAGTGTTTGAATCTTGCTAAGAAAGCTTGTTAATCTGTAGCTTTTACAGAACCAGGAGCTCCTGAGGTTTAATTATGCACCTCCCACTTTGTGGGTGCACTTTAGAACAGAGTTAGAATAGAGATAGGCTACCATTTATTTTGTGGCATCCGGGTTAGAGAGAGAGCTTTAATCGTAGGCTGTATTATATTTAGTTTAGAAGGCAACTTATGTCTTCTGTGGCCTCTGTAGGCATTAATACTTGTAAAATATTTGGTAGGAGCCTGGGGTTTTCTGGGTGGACTTGGCAAGGGTTTTTAAATGCCTTGTCTGTAAATTTGTAAATACAGTAAGTTGTATGCTGCATGTTTGTTGTGTGTAATGTAGTGCATGTCACTGTCATTGTTAATAAATATTTTTTAAATAAATATTTCTTTAACCAAGTGTGCCTGGATTGTTACTCTTTTCTCCAAAGTTGTGCTACAGAACAAATAATTAATGTGCCTCTGACTATATCAACTGCTCGGGTATATTCTTGGCAGAAATCTTTACAAGTTGGAGATTATGATCAATTTATAATTATTTAATTAATCTGCTCAGTCATTTCCTGATTTTCTCCATTTTCATAGCCCTTCACTTGAACGCAATACGCAAGCCTGTTAATGTAAATCATATCTTTATGTTGTTTGTGAAAATGAATTCGAATGTTTGTAGTCTAAAGCTCCATGTGTTCTAACTTAAAGTGTACAGTACAAGATTGTGCAGAAGGGTGGGTGCTCTTGTTCAGTTGGCATGGTAAGATAAGTATCATGTAGCAAGGCAATCTTTCTGGTGGTAGAGCAAACACTGCTCTTATGACCATTTATCAGATCACCCCCGCAGCAATGAAAAGTAGCACAAAAAGCCCAGTGTTAACAAAATCTGCAATATAGGGTCAACAGGGCACTCTTCTTGGAAAGTCGATACCTCATTTTGAACTAATGTTCACAGCATTTTTAAATGGGTCATGTAAATAATGCCTGGATATTATTTGAGCTGATTGTATATGCAGTGCATACAGGACTCCCTTGTAATGGCTTCACATCTTAATACACAAATAACTGTGTCCTTGGGCCACTTTATGGAAGAACTACTAAAATAATTATGCAGCTGTTACAAAGTACTTACTAATTTAAAATAGTTCATCACCATCACAATTACGCTTAGGTTGAAAAATGCAAAGAATATATTAGAATACATTATGATATATTGAAAGCCCATTTATTAGGTCTACCCATCTGGATTTAAAATGCTTTTCCAAAAACATTCCAAATAACTGATTCACCGTCCTGAACCACTGACAATGCCAACAAATTTATATTTGATGATTAATTTAATTAGCCCTTGTTATTCACACACCAATACATTTATTACGCACAAAGTCTTATGAATTTCTTTGGACCTCTGATGAAACAAGAACAATATATAAATATTTACAGACTGGATTATGTCTTTTGAAGAAAAAAGAAAAGAAATGTAATATGCAATCTGAATAGAATATATAAAATATAACCGAACTAAGTTCAATTTATTATATTAAATTCCAGGAAGAATGAGCATACTATTTATTCATACCCCTGAATTATTTTGTACATCTTCCTCTGACAGGAATTACTTTAACTTGACACCATCTTGAGTGTGATAGAAGATTTAGACACTTGAGAGTGGAAAATTATGAACATTCCTCCATGTAGAACTGCTCTAAGCCCTTCAAATCCTTTCTGTTAGTGTTAGAGAGAATATTCAATTGGATCAAGGTTTGGAGATTGAAATGGCCAATTGGGAACATTGTTTTGTGTGCAGTAATAATAATAATAATAAAAATAATAATAATAATAATAATAATAATAATAATAATAATAATAATAATAATAATTGCTTACACTTATATAGCGCTTTTCTGGACACTCCACTCAAAGCGCTTTATTGGTAATGGGGATCCCCTCCACCACCACCAATGTGCACCATCCACCTGGATGATGCGACGGCAGCCATAGTGCGCCAGAACGCTCACCACACATCAGCTATCAGTGGGGAGGAGAGCAGAGTAATGTAGCCAATTCATAGAGGGGAATTATTAGGAGGCCATGATTGGTAAGGGCCAATGAGAAATTTGGCCAGGACGCCGGGGTTACACCCCTACTCTTTTAGAGAAACACCCTGGGATTTTTAATGACTACAGAGAGTCAGGACCTCGGTTTTACATCTCATCCGAAGGACGGAACCTCTTTACAGTATAGTGTCCCGTCACTATACTGGGGCATTAGGACCCACATGGACTGCAGGGTGAGTGCCCCCTGCTGGCCCCACTAACACCTCTTCCAGCAGCAACCTTAGTTTTTCCCAGCAGGTCTCCCATCAAGGTACTGACCAGGCTCACACCCGCTTAACTTTAGTGGGTTGCCAGTTGTGAGTTGCAGGGTGATATGGCTGCTGGCAGTAAAGCAGTCCTTTTTCAATTTGGCTAACTACAGTAGACAGTAATAGCATGCTAGAATGCCTTTTTTTCTGCGAAGCTCGAACTTTTAAGACAAAAGAACTGGGTATTTGGTAACCATGGCCTGGTACGTCTTGGAGTTCAATGTTGACAAGGGATTCAGGACCAAAGACGCAAAATCACAGCAAAACATAACAGACCCCACACATTTCAAACTGGGCACGAGTGTTTCCTCTACAAGAGCTTCATATTTTTTACACAAAACATAACACTAATGAGTATGTCCAAAAAAAGCTAAAAATTTATTTTATCCATGTTTGGCGAGTCTGAGTCGCCTCTTTTTGTGGTAAGACCTCAAAAGAGACTTCTTTGTAACGCCATTATGAATGCAACATTCATGCAGGCAACTTTGACTGGGAACTTTCGAGAGGGAAGTAAAAAATAGTATTCAAATGTCGTATGTGAGCACAAGCAGTTATTTTGAAAAATATGTATTTGCTTCTAGAAAACTACTTGAGCATTAGTACAAAAGTATTATCTCTTAACAGTACACAAGTATCAGAAGAAAAACATAGTCGTCTTTAAATTCTACATATGCAAATCTAGTCTTACCCTGAGTTCCACACCTTTTAATTATCAGTGACATTACGATTTTAGATATATTAATGGTTACATTAAAATCTTGATTTAGGGTTTTAAATTATGATCCTTAAATAAAACCATTCAAATATCAAATGTCAAAATGCCTGTTAGATTCCTACAACTCTTCTAAATTACTCAATTGACCCAACACTGCTGAACAGCAGCAAACCACCATAAACAGTCAAATAACAGACATTTCTCCTACAATAGGACAGTTGTATTCCCGGAAAACAACAAAAGCACAAGGCGTATACATGCGAAAAACTATATTATCAAGTCATTACTTGAAAGTACTGTACATCAACTTTTAGCTTAAGTGTTTCTGAAGACTACACAATAGACAGTACCTAGGCAGGTCCCATATTATTATTTCTATCTGTTACACAAAATAAGTTGATCATGCATTTTCTTTTCTTTCAAAATGAGATTTTTCTCCTCCAACACATTGAACACATCACATTTTAACACTGAATACAACATCAACTTGAATTTAAAGTATCCCTTTATTTTTTTGGAGGGAACTACCTTCTTTTTCAATGTTTGACATAACGGTAGTCAGTGAAATAGTTTTGTGATCAAATAAACTCTAATATAGGTTTTTCTGAACACACATTTTAAAAAAAATATTCCAGTATTCCAAAGAAGCCTAAACATACTGTATGGATGTAGACTGATGATCAACAAATAAACCTAGATCAGGTTTTGAAATTAAATGACTAATTCCTCTTAAGATATTAGTTAAGTCCCCAACGTAGTTCTGCATTTACTTCTTGTTGCAATTGGTACTGATTAAATTCTAATGATTGTGAACATCGTACTTACTAGTGAACAACTTAGTACACAGCTCCATACGAACTCTTTCATGAGCACTGGGCCATGAAAGTGGCCATCCTAAGGTAGGGGATTTTTTACATACAGTACTCTTAGGTAGAGTGACTTACAATACAACATTATCATTATGTGTGAATGCAAGGAGCACTGGTGCAAGTATAATAAGACACAAATACATTCAAATAAAAAGGATGAAAAACAGGGAAGTCAGTGAAGTTGGCCAGTGATCTTGGTGGGGGCCCTCTTACCATGGTGCTCATGCTGAAGACATACTCGGAGCTCCTGAACAGTAGCCTTGTCCAGCGCCGAATGTACTCTCAGCACATCCAGCTCCTCTTCTAGGTTGGCTCTGTCATTTCAGGCAAAACAAGGTTTGTTTATTTCATATGTCACTGACAGTGCTTTCTGTGAGCCCAATTAATTGAAGATGAGCTAAATACTAATGTCTATTTCACCATTACTTAGCGCTAACATGACCGATGTTTTCTGTGTTTTCACACATACTGACTTTAGTTAATCAGTGGAATAGTTTAGTGATCCAATATGCTCTATACTGTATTTCTATTTCTAAGGAACCATACTGCACATTTCATTTAAATAATACAATATCGCCTAATTCCATCAGTGACAAATTCATCTTTTGTTGGGAGAGAAAAAAAATTCAAATACGGAAGTTACAATTCCTAAAGAAATCCTGAAAACCTGTTATTTAATGGTAGCAATTATTTGGCCAGGACTTAAACATGTTATACAGAATGTTAAAAATTGATTTATGTAAATGCATCGATAAGATATTTATAATAAATATAGATTCATAATGAGCAGCACAAAGGGACAATGGTTAGCACTACTGCATCACAGTGCTGGGGCCCTGGGTTCAATTCTGGACCTGAGGTGTTATATGTGTGGAGTTTGTATGTTCTCCCTGTGTTTGCGTTGGTTTCTTCTTGGTCCTCTGGTTTCTTCTCACAGCTCAAAGACATAAAGCTGTGGCAGGTTAATTGGCTTCTGGGGAAATTGGCCCTGGTGTGAGTGTGTGTGGATTTGTCTCTGTGTGCCCTGCAATGGACTGTAGTCCTGTCCAGGCTGTAACCCTTGTCTCCGTTGCTTGACAGGTGAGGCTAGGGTCCACCATGACTCTCTTGGGTTGGATAAAACAGTTAGAAAATGGATATATATGTTATAGTTGTAACATCATAATACCAAAACATTTCTCATGTGAATATTTTTTCATTATTTTGTAGTTTGGAATTCAAATTTATTTTTTATTTTTTAATTTAGCAATCATCATATTTAATTTTAACATTCCAAATGTCTGTAGATGTATCATTGTGAAATACAAATTTGCTTAGTTCAAAACGCATTACGCATAAACTCACAGTCCTCTACAAACATTTTAAATAGTCCTGATGGGCATTATAGTGTTAAAACAACGGCATTGTGAAAATAGTGCACTTCATGCTTTGGGAGAAAAAAAAAGAAAAACTGACAAGTACTGAAACTAAACCCAATTACCTAACTGCAATTATTTTTGATTCATGTTAATGGCTAATTAAGAGGAAAGAAAGCCATGCTCAAACATGCACTTTCAAGTTATTATTAGGACCTAAAGAAATCTGCAGAGAATTTAGGGAAACTCCACAGAGAGTTTTTCACCTGAAACATGCGCCTATTTTTTTTCATTTACCCTATATCTGCAGCAAATATTTGTAAACTTTGAATGAAAGCCAAAACACATTTTCTGAAATTCCAAGAGGCTTCCATGTCAAGCTATTTTTATATTTTCCTCTATCCAGAGCAAGGGACCTTTTCTGTAGCAGACCAGTGGCAATTTCCTGATGTTTCGTAGATATAAATTACACCACCAGTGAATGAAAGGTGGAAAAAGTTCCCTTCTCTGGTTACAACAGAGGCAGCTGTGTCTGTATTAAAAGGAAGTCGTTTTAATTAATATACTCTGTCTTGGCCCTGCAGGCAATGGGAAATTAAACTGAAAATGTGTCCCTTTCCTAGAATGTCCACCATAAAATTACCCCAGTGACATGTTCTGGGCCCTTGATTAAATAACTCTAATTCATTCACTGTTTCAGAACACACTAATCAAAATGACATTGTTTTACAATGACATTTATACACCTAAATTGCCACAATGTGTACCTCTGTTCCATTTTCTTGGAAAATACTTGCTGCAAACCTTCTAATTACATATATTACTGATTTCCATAAATTTTATTTCAAAGTACTATTTAATATTAATAGATTCTAAAATATTAATATGAGTATATAAATATATATACAGTGCCTTGCGAAAGTATTCGGCCCCCTTGAACTTTTCAACCTTTTGCCACATTTCAGGCTTCAAACATAAAGATATAAATTTTTTATTTTATGTGAAGAATCACCAACAAGTGGGACACAATTGTGAAGTGGAACGAAATCTATTGGATTTTTGAAACTTTTTTAACTAATAAAAAAATGAAAAGTGGGGCGTGCAAAATTATTCGGCCCCCTTGCGTTAATACTTTGTAGAGCCACCTTTTGCTGCGATTACAGCTGCAAGTCGCTTGGGGTATGTCTCTATCAGTTTTGCACATCGAGAGACTGAAATTCTTGCCCATTCTTCCTTGCAAAACAGCTCGAGCTCAGTGAGGTTGGATGGAGAGCGTTTGTGAACAGCAGTTTTCAGCTCTTTCCACAGATTCTCGATTGGATTCAGGTCTGGACTTTGACTTGGCCATTCAAACACCTGGATACGTTTATTTGTGAACCATTCCTTTGTAGATTTTGCTGTATGTTTGGGATCATTGTCTTGTTGGAAGATAAATCTCCGTCCCAGTTTCAGGTCTTTTGCAGACTCCAACAGGTTTTCATCCAGAATGGTCCTGTATTTGGCTGCATCCATCTTCCCCTCAATTTTAACCATCTTCCCTGTCCCTGCTGAAGAAAAGCAGGCCCAAACCATGATGCTGCCACCACCATGTTTGACAGTGGGGATGGTGTGTTGAAGGTGATGAGCTGTGTTGCTTTTACGCCAAACATATCGTTTTGCATTGTGGCCAAAAAGTTCGATTTTGGTTTCATCTGACCAGAGCACCTTCTTCCACATGTTTGGGGTGTCTCCCAGGTGGCTTGTGGCAAACTTTAGACGAGACTTTTTATGGATATCTTTGAGAAATGGCTTTCTTCTTGCCACTCTTCCATAAAGGCCAGATTTGTGCAGTGTAAGACTGATTGTTGTCCTATGGACAGACTCTCCCACCTCAGCTGTAGTTCTCTGCAGTTCATCCAGAGTGATCATGGGCCTCTTGGCTGCATCTCTGATCAGTCTTCTCCTTGTCTGAGCTGAAAGTTTAGAGGGACGGCCAGGTCTTGGTAGATTTGCAGTGGTCTGATACTCCTTCCATTTCAAGATGATCGCTTGCACAGTGCTCCTTGGGATGTTTGAAGCTTGGGAAATCTTTTTGTATCCAAATCCGGCTTTAAACTTCTCCACAACAGTATTACGGACCTGCCTGGTGTGTTCCTTGGTCTTCATGATGCTCTCTGCGCTTTCAACAGAACCTTGAGACTATCACAGAGCAGGTGCATTTATACAGAGACTTGATTACACACAGGTGGATTCTATTTATCACCATCAGTCATTTAGGACAACATTGGATCATTCAGAGATCCTCGCTGAACTTCTGGAGTGAGTTTGCTGCACTGAAAGTAAAGGGGCCGAATAATTTTGCACGCCCCACTTTTCATTTTTTTATTAGTTAAAAAAGTTTCAAAAATCCAATAGATTTCGTTCCACTTCACAATTGTGTCCCACTTGTTGGTGATTCTTCACATAAAATAAAAAATTTATATCTTTATGTTTGAAGCCTGAAATGTGGCAAAAGGTTGAAAAGTTCAAGGGGGCCGAATACTTTCGCAAGGCACTGTACCAAGCATATTTTTTCTTTCTCAGCCCAATATGATTTTGATTCATACAAAGAATGAATTAATACAATCAAAAATGCTTGACCTCAGACACATTTCTCATATTTTGTGATTGGGAGTCCCAGTCAAAAACAAGTGCAAGATGAAAGTGGATGTTTGAGAATGCTCACTTTGTTAAATATTTCACAAATTATACAGTATTCTTTGAACATTTTGGCTCTGACTCAATATTAAGTAAATGGACGTCATGATCGGTAATTGCTGCATGTATAATATGGGTCGTAGTGCATAAGGCCTGAATGGCATTTCACTTGATACACATAACATGTTCCTAGTAACAGCAGTAAGAAAAGGAAACTCAATTTAATCAAAAAGGAACGTCTCCCAAATTCACATACAGTATGACCTTAAGGAGCATATGAAAAATGAACAAAAAATAGTATAAGGTACAAACTGCAAACTGTGCTAATACTCAAACACTGAACCAACTCCTTATTCACTCTTTCTGAACAAATAACATGCTCCTTTATTATAGCAGTTATCAATCAGTTACAATTTTTCTTAGTGTTCATATTTCTAAAATGTAAAGAGCTCATATTTGGAACATGTAGTACAATTGGATTTTCTGTTTTGGATTATGCCTACTAAACCTGTGATGGAATTCATATCTATCTTTTTCTAGAATTAGAAATGTAAGATCTGTTCTAAAATGTACCATGCACTTAAACAAAGGTACCGTTCTTTCTTCTCTATTTTATAATATTGGATTTTGACAGTGCTGTTTGAGAAATCTCTCCACCAGAAATTTGAGAAAAAAAATTGCTGTATCATTTTTTTAATTACTGCTGTGATTGAGAAAAAATATAGATTAGACATATTTGGTTATAACTGAATGACTGAGTAGAGATCTGTTAAACTGGACTGGAGAGAGAATAACAACACAGTGATTTAGAGTGATAAAGCCACAGGAGATTTATAATGTGTTCTATACTGAAAGTGAATGGTTTATGCTAAAATACCAGCACAAGTCACAATATTGAACATTCATACAGTATATATGTTAAAAACACCAGTTACAGAGATTATTTATTAATGTTGATCCGCAGTTGGATGTTGTTGATACTATTCAACATATGGATACATCTGGAGTTCCAGAGAGACTCAGCCAGTAGAGAAACATGTTCTGAGGTCCATGGTTCAGACACCGCTAGCTCATGTTTGGGTGATGTCATTAACAGACTATGATCTGGATTAACACAATTGTTGTAACTGGTCATTTGCTGGCCAAAGCTTCTGCCTTTGTTGTGCTCCTTCAGAGTTACGGCTTTGGCATGCTGGGCTCCTGTGGGTGGTCTTTACTAACTCTGCGTAAGACGTTATAGGGCTTAAAGTGTAAAAAGGGGCACAGGGGCTCCACACTTCACA